GCATTTCATCCTCCTCTTGGATCAGGCACCAGCTGTGCTGCTGTTGAGGAAAGGGAATATTGTGACACGAGTGCATCTTCCCTGTTCAATATTCATATTTACAAAATGTTTCAGGTAAATATCTCAGAGTGAAGGGCTGTCTTAAGCTGGTTTTCTTTCAGAATTCACTTTTATTGTAGTGAAGCCTTTAAAATATAACGTGCGGGTGGGGGGTCTGAGAGGGTTTGTGGGGGTTTTTTTCCCCCTTCTCATTCTGTAAGGAGGAACTAAGGTGTAAACCTTAGGAAAAGCTTAGCAGCAGATCTGCCTGTCTGCTTCCAGAGCATGTGCAAATATTCAGAGGGATGAGCAGGGAGCGTGAAATGCAGGAGATGCCAGTTTGGGAGGGCAGTGGTGGGGTCCCACACAAACTGGTTAAATGCTGATGAATTGTGCTCAGACCAGTATAAATGTGGGACAGAATCAATGCTTACAGAGGATAAAGCTGTCATGGCTCTGTATCTGAATACTTTGCTTGGAAAACCTGGAGGCTGTTCCTGTGGCACACAAAGTGATGTTGAGGTAGCTGGGGCTGGAGAAACCCCCTTGCAAGGGACTCTCTAAGGCTGAGGGAACAAGCAGAACAGCAGCAGCTTTGTTTAACTAAGCATAGGTAATGTGTATTATAATGATGTGAACAATGTAAGCATGTTGATGAGCTCTAATTTAACTCCAGATGGTCAGGGAAGAGGTGTCAGGGACAGCTCACTTGCCCAACTGTTGACTTGCCTGTGGTGGTCCAAGCAGTCAGTGCAATCTGCTGTGGAGTGGCAGCTCCTTCTTATACAAATCAAACTGCACATACAGCAAGAGCAGTGTGATTTCTGCTGCTTATTTCTCTCCTCCAAAGCAGGAGAGAAAATGAAGGGAAATGAGGGTATCAGCTGTAGTAGGCTAAAAATTGCTTTTATTTTTGAAAGGAGAATTCAGCGACAGAGAGGAAATGGATTTTTTTTTTTTTTTTTTTTTTTTTTTTTTTTTGGGGGGTTTAAAT